ATAATTGATTGTCACGTTACTCGTCAAAGAATATCGCACGACAATAGGACTTTTGACGAATATTTCTCTAAGCATATGGGGAGCTCCTTTGATAACGTTAAGAAAGTACACTAACACTGTTTGCCTCCTCCCAATTTTACTTTAGCAAGAAAAAAAAGAGTTGCACATAACAAATTTTCTTACTATAAATATAACTTCACATGTTTAATAGTCAGTTGTTGCTTAGCAGTTTATGTTTTGGATAGAATTTTGTTTGTTAACGGTCGATCATAAATTAGGGAACTTTTATGGCCTAGCCTAGCATGACTAGGAATTTCGGGTCGGGCCGACCTTAAAAAAAAGATGGTCGGCCGGCCCAAACTTTACAAGGTTATTTGAATAAAAATTTTAAAAAATGTATTCGGGCAGCTCGACCTAAATAAGATTTCAGTCCAGCTTGGCTCAAACACTTAAATGGGCCTGGTCAGATTGGAATCAAGTCAACAGTATTTGGCCTTGGGCCGACCCGTTTTGTCCGGCCTAAATTTACAGTTTTAGGGCCTGTTTGGTTCGCTAATTCGAGTTGATATGTGATATTGTATGAGAGCTTTTACTGTAATAAAAAAGTTAGATGTGACTGTTTCTGAAAACTTTTTACTGTAGTAAAACTCAAATTCTAAACTCGAATCAGTAAAAAAAAGGGACAGTCACTTGACATTTTTGATACTAGTTCTGATATTTACTCAATTCAAACATGGCATGAAAAGTTAAATAAGATATCTGATTGAATAAAAGTACATTGAGCTGGCTCACAGAACTCAAAAATCTTGCCGTAGAAAGAGAGTGCACAATTCAAAAGTACAGCTCATTTTCCCACATTCTGTCCTGATATTTTAATTTCACTAGTTAAGCTACGTACTATCGACGTGATAAATACCATTGTAAGTTTAATATGACGTCAAAATACATAACATTCTTAAAAGTTAAGTCTATTAAAAGAAAAATATATATCTTAAAAAATCATATTAAAAAAAGTAAAGCTATATAATAGTTTTTGACAAAAAAGAAAAAAAAACTTAAGTATGGACAATTAAAAGCAATTATTTTAATTAAAGAAAGTGAAGAAAAGAAAGTGTTTCAAAGAAGCATATTGTTTAAAAAAAATGTATCGCTAAAAAATGTTAGGAAAAAAACAAAAAAAATTAATAAGCAAAAGAAAAGAAGAAGAAAATTAAAAAATTAAAAAAAAGAGGAAGAGGGGAAAAGTTAAAAAAAAGAAAAAGAATTAAAGTTATATAGGAATTTTTGACAAAAAAAACGTAAGGACATATTTAAAAGAAATTATCTTAATTAAAAGGAAGTAAGGAAAAAGAAAATATTTCAAAAAAATATATTGTAAAAGAAAAAATTGTCAAAGAATATTAAGAGAAAAAATAAAAAAAGAATAAGTAAAAGAAACGAAGAAAAAATAATTTTAAAAATCAAAAAAAGAGGAAAAAAAGGAAAAGTTAAAAAAGAGACGGAAAAAAAAAGAGGAGGAGGAGGAGGAGGCCAATACGTAGCCTGTTTAAACGCCAAGTCTACTTGTTTGCTTTTATATATTTTAGATGTTAAATTAGATGTATAGATTGTAACGCCCCGCCTTATATTTTAATAAATAAAGTATTTTACTACACTTTTGAGAAAATTACAGTCTAGCTAATTTCAATGTTCCCGAACATGACGATCTCATGCCTTAGAATTATAGTGACATATGATTACAATTATGAGCAAAAAGATGATAATAGCTAATACATAATAAAGTTTATAGTTATTAAGAAGTTATCATCGTAAGAACTAAGAAGAAGGAGATTTCTAAGAAATATTTTGAGAATGAAATTGTTGGTGAATGTGAATGTTAGAAAACTCAACTATTTATAGGGTAAAAATTAGCCTTTTTGATTATTGGAACAGTGATATGACGATTTTGTCCTTATTATTTAGTAGGAATAATTTTCTAATTATTTGAAGAAAAATAACCTTCGCACAACTGTATTTAAACGATTTTACCCTTGATTAATATTTTGAGGACAATATTATTAGAAATATCAATCAATGTCTAAAATTATAGAAAATTATGGAAAATGCCTTGAGGAATATTAAAAATTTAGTAGTGAAGTCAGAATTCAATTTTGATAGTTTTAAGAAAGAAGGCAATTTAGAAATAAATAGTTATGGGCCGAGATGATTTATAGAAAATTTATTGCCCTAAGTTAAGGAATATGACGAGAAAATCAGAAGTTGAAAAAGATGAATATAAAGGAGGTCCATCGGATAAGCCTATTTCACTTATATATATATGTGTGTGTGTGTGTGTGTACCTTTTAGCTCAGTGAAGCGTTTTCCTGCAACAATTCTTAGACAATAACATTATTGATATATCATGAAGGGATACAAACAGGATTAATGAGACATATGGCATAAATAAGATTGTTGAATTAAAATATGGCTCGAGTTTATAAATATGACTTAATGTAGATATATAATGACATTGTTAACCTGATATTAATGTTTTAAAAGGATATATATATATATATATTATATAAAGAGAATGAATGATGGACGATAAGGAAGATAAGGGAGCAGTTACTAATAATTAAACGATATTATAGAAATATATTATTTTTATACAAGTTTACTATTTACAAATAATATTTTATTATGGAATAGTACTCAAAGTTTTCATATAAATAGGCCTTACAAAAGAAGTTTTTCTTACCTCAGAATTTCAGAGAGGAAATTCTTTCTTTTTTTCTCTCTCAAATACTTTTTCTTAGTAGAGGTACCTACTCTAGTATTCAAAGGTTGGAATTCTACTGATATAGTATTGTTTAGGTAAATAATCCATGATAATTTATTATAAGCCGTTATAATGCTTAATTACCGTATACTTAAATAGTACCCTTACATATAAATAGTATACACTTAAGTTCTCTGTGTAACATGGTCTATATGGGTGTTTGGATACGTACTGTGCAAGTAAGATTTGTTTAAGGAGATTGAAACTTAAGTGGTCTATCTGAGCCCCTCCACGTCTTTCTTAGGAACTTGCTTAGAAAGATAATTCTGTCTAAAGAGGCTGTTCGGTCTTGTTCTTTGTTAACATAACTGAAGCTCTTATGTCGCAGTCTTTCCTGGGAATTACCCGATCAGTAAAATTCCTATCAACCGCATAGGTTCCGCATGTATACATGAATAGAATGACTGAATAGTACCATATACGGGAAATAGATTATACAAATGTATGATATCGTATGAGTGAAGTTGTGGAATTTTGATAGGATTTAATGGGTAAATTTATGGATTTAGATATAAAGTAGCGATGGAATAGCAGTACCATATATTTAGTTATTATATCAGCATTGTTAAGTGTTACTGATATAATGTTATGATTGTTATTATTATTATTTGGAGTATACCTCCTACAGACAGTTGAGACAAGGTAAGTAAAGTTCTCACCTACAACACAAGTTAGTATTTTGAGAGTTATTTTCAGTACAATTATATTTGTTATGCTCTGGTTATAACTTTACATTGATTCAAAGGAATATACAGTATCTTCATACTTGTTATGTTTAAAGCATTGCATTCACTTTATGTAAGAGAAAGTTTAAAGTTTATTAATAAGACATCATGAGATACTGCCTAAGTAATTATTCAAAGATATTTTTAAGCTATGTGCCTTCATAAGAGCACAATGAAAGTTATTAAGCCAATAATTGGCAATAAGAGATATTAAAGGGTTACATGCAATATTCTCCAGGAACCTAAGAGAAGAAAAAAAATGAAGCAAATCATGAACATAAAAACTTTCATGTGGGATAATAACTTTATTTATTGAGCGTTAGCTCATCAGTTTAATTATATTTGTGTTGTAGGTAAGGAAAAAAGTACATTGAATTAAACTGGAGAATGGACAATGTGCCAAGCTGATATGCTAGTACATATAGAACTGATGTGCTGGGAGAAAGTTTTCAAAGGGCTCCATAGCTTATTATTATTATTTTTTAAAAAAATAATGAGTGTTTATTTAAGAATCCATGGAGTGAATATTATGAAGTATGTTATGTTACAAAAGTTTAAATTTGTACGGATTTTATGTAATATGCTTTGGAAGTGTTGTGCAAATTTAATTATCTGTGTAATAGTTATATTTTAAAAGGATGATGTTATATAGATAGTCGTTAAAAGATTATACTATAAAGAGAGCAATTGGAAAAAAAAAAAAAAAAAGCAAAGCACACCTAAAAAAAATTAAAGTGTAAAAAAATATTCATAATTTTTTTTTTAAAAAGAACAAAAAATTTATAAAAAATAAAAAATAAAAAATAAAAAAGAGGGGGCTACCAAGTGGTAGTCTTGAAAGTGCTCTATAGGAACACTATAAAAAAATATGTGTAAAAATAACTTTTGATATAATAGGAATTATATGAAAAACAATTAATTATCACACATTTTAAAAAAAATTATTTTAGCCATTGACAAAAAAAAAAAAGAAACATATGTAAAAAAAAAAAAAAAATTCTTTCTTAGGTGTGAAGTGAGAAAAAAAAATATTTGTAGTATACTCATATAAACAATTAAACTGTGAAAAAAAATTTACAAAACAAAAAAAATAAAAAAAAACAAAACATTTAAAAGATAAAAATAATAATGATAAAAAAGTAAAAAAATGAAAAAAAACGGAGGAAGATGAGAAGTTGCCATATGTCAGCTCTAAGAAAGCGTTTTTTGGTTTTTTTTCTTAGTAAGTTTTTTAGCGTATTGTTAGATTAGATTTGTCTCTTCTAAACACACAACGGTGAAAAGAAAGATAAGGAAAAAAAAATACACATCTTTTTCAAAATACTCCACTCGACCAAACTTTAAAACAAAATAATAATAAAATGAAACTCCACTAGGATACACATACAAATCAATAACAAATGATCAAACTCAACATGAAGGATTCTAGCAAAAAAAGAAAAAGAAAAAAAGAAAAATCAACATGAAGGAAGATCTGCTGGGGGAGGAAGCAAAGATTGATTTGGGCCAGGCCCATTTTTGACGATAAAGGCCGTGGACAGGCCCCAAGAAGTATGCTCTTCAAGGTGACAATGCACGAACCAAACACCCGGGTTATCGGCCTTGAACCGGATGGCGGCCCAACCGCCGGTCGGAACTGCCACGGTGTTCCTCTCAGGCGGGTCAATCAGATTATACTTCCAAGGGTCCTTGGCACTGTCAAAATTCCCAAACCCCTTTCCCACCACAAAAAAGTTGTGTCCATGAACATGAATGGGATGGTTCTCTTTGTTGAGAAGACTAGTCCCTTGCAAAACAATTTCCACGTTTGTTCCATAAGGGAACACCAAAATCTTGCTCCCGAATTCCGTGTTGAGATTCCCTGTCAACGAATCGACTCCGGTGTAATCGAACGGCCTCAAGGGCTTCTCCGGGAAACCGGCCGTAAACCGAGAGTCCACCCCCCCGGCTTTGCCTAATTTGGTCACGTAGTAGGTCTCCAATAAAGAAAATGAATTAGGACGGACGAAGGATTGGTTGTTCATGGACGCATAGAAACTCTTTCCTTCATACCCCATACAAGTTTTATTTGAGGGGCAATCTTGGAGATTAAGGCTTATTGTTATAACAACTCGCTTGTCAATCTTTTTAGGCACGTTGCATGGATACTGAGGCGATGCGAGACTCTTGAGACTTGCCGAAAAGTTGGTGGCGAAAGCGGTGTCTTCAATTTTGGGAAGGTTGTTCAGTATGAATTTGTTTGGTGGCTTAAGATGAGCTTTAGGCCTGAATTTTCCAGGTTGCTTGTAGTGCAAGAAACCGACCGCGGTCGAGTTGTCGACGGGGAAGATGGTGGTGAGGTAGGGAGTTGCCGCCATCGGGAACATGCCGGAAGGGTCAGCAGGGTGTTGGTTTGTGGTGAGGAGAACGTTGGTTGTTTGTCCAGGAGCGATCATGATGGCTTTGGTTGTGAAAGGTTTTGTGTAGACTGCATCAATCTCAACGACCGTTAGGATGTGGTTCGAAACGGCAAAGAAGAGCTCGTCGTTTAAGGCTGCATTGATGATTCTGAGTAAATAGGTCTTGCCTCGTTCCACTGTTTGGATAAAAGTATCTGTGTACACAAACAAAATCATTTGTAATTGAGATCTTCTCAACTTCATTAGCCGTGAATGTGATGAAATCTATTCATATTGTTAGGTTCTATTAGTTGAGATTTTTGAGAAATTTATCTGACAATATCTGTTTGATTTAATTCTTTTCTTTTTCTTTGTAAGAAACATAAATAGATAAGAAGATTAAATCTTGAAGCACCTTTGGTTGAGCAAGGGTAGAGAGGCCCAGGGAAACCATTTATGGTGTAAGCGTCAGAACTATTTGGTCCACCTCCATATCTTGTCATCTCATTTTCCACTGCAGCCACATCTGCATTCCACCACTCACCTGCACTTAATTAACCACATAACAAATTTACTATTTCTATTATGATTATCCATCTCTTACCATTAAAAATTTGAATAATTATATATATAATAAACACACTCATTTATAATATATATCTATATATATATATATATATATAGGGGTCGTCATGATCATGCTTTCGTTTCATGGCTTTGTTTCTATTTTATTTTACTTTTTAAACTTAAGATAGGGGATTCAAACTCCACACCTTAAGTTAAGAGTCAGATGCGGAATTATCATCAAGACTAAGTCCTTGATCATATTAATGCAGCCTAAATCGTAATTTAGATCGATAATTACCAACAATAACGGGGATTTCAGCTCGAATTGGAACAGAGAAGGGATATGGCGTGCGAGGGTGGATAATGAAGGCACCATAGACAGAAGCTCGTTGCCAAGCATGATGGGCATGCCATAGAAGAGTGCCTCTTTGGCCTATTACACTGAACCTGTATGTGTATGATTTGCCTCCACTGATTGGGCATTGTGTTATGTAAGATGGACCATCTGCCCAACCTGTTCTTACCTGCTTTATTCCGTGCCTGTTTGTCAGCAGTACCAAACGTGTCATTTACTTTCATTTCGTTAGATCCAAAAAGATTCCTTGTAATTTAGCCAACTACCACGCATGTTCGTTAATGTTTTGTATTAATAATTAGTTCAAAAAGAAAAAGGCTAATAATACATGATTCCCTAGAATCAGATGATGACAAATATATATCGGAACATCACTTGTCATGAATAAAATTTGTTTTTAATTATATGTTCACGTACTTGCAAGTTAAAAAAATGTGATGTGATATTATGCTCCAATATATATACTAGATATATAATTGCTATAATTAGTTGGAGATATGCAAGAAAGGTGATTATTTAAGAATACTAATATTAATTATTTTGTACAAATTTCTTGGAACAACTTTGAGAGTTTTTAAACGAAAAACAAAGAAATAACTGCTTTGATATCATAATGCATCATTAGTGATATTGTTCCATCATGCCGTACATGAATATAATTGTCCAATTTATATGCCTTAATTTTTAGGAACATGTATGATCCGTGCCGTGGTTCTTCAATATATATATATATATATATATATATATATGATAGCAGCTTGAGTAGTTCCATCATGCCGTACATGAATATAATTGTCCAATTTATATGCCTTAATTTTTAGGAACATGTATGATCCGTGCCGTGGTTCTTCAATATATATATATATATATATATATATATATATATGATAGCAGCTTGAGTACTCATGAGAAATATTGCTGTACAATTAATGGATTGGCTTTTTATTAACTGAATAAAAGGGACTTGGTGGCTGGTGGTAATTGTTCTCATGGGCTAAGAGTAACCAATCAAATAGAAGAAAGGCCGAAAATGACAGCTTTATTCACCAAATCTCAATAATGATTGTCCTGCATTATATATGACGGTAATAGAATTGGTACTCAAAAAAGAAAGAAATAAAATGGTAGCCAAGTTCTATTTTAAGTTTTAACGGGTCATTACTACTACAATTATATATTCTTTTCATGTACCTCAAAAATTGCATTTTTTTGGACTACTGCTGACCAGCGAATCAGATATTGAAGATCTTCTAATAGAGGATGTTTAGTTTATGTATTCAGAATTATGATTCAGAATCATTATCATTTTACGTGTATTTTTTGTGAGAGAAAACACTATAGAGAACCATGAATTATGATTCAGAATCAGGAACGAATATAGGAAACAAACGTTTAATTGCTATGTATTGACACATTTTCTTCAGTGAAAAAATAAGGTGAGAACCAAAAAGAACTACTGAATAGCTTATTAAAATGGATATGACCTCAATGGATGATCTGATACTAAATAAACAAGTTTTTTTTTTTCTAGATGAAAAAAAGATTTTTTTTGAAAAGTAGCTTTGCCACATCTGCTAAATCTTGAAGAACTCCCAAAAGTCCACAGGTTATAATGATATAAATTGGCGCGCTTATACAACTTTGCAGAGATAAGAAATCTTCATGTAGCATATGAACATGAAAATGAGAGTAGTTCATTTTCTATATACTTCATTTGACTGACTCGAATTTAAGATTTAGTTTAAAAAACAGCAACCTAATCACCTTCCGAATGACTGATGGTATTCCTTCAATAGTTTTATGAAGTGGATCAATGAATTGGGTAGATATATATATATATATATGAGATCAGTTAAGCGAAGCTTTTGTTAATCATATTATACTAACAGCTGCTTTATATACTTGTAGTTATATATATATATATATATGAGCAAATTATAATAGTTAAGGTTTTCGGGCAAATTAAAAAGGTACTCACCAATGAATTGTAGTGTTGTCAGCAATGCGGTTAGTCACCTTAACTTCAACGTTATCACCTTCATGAACAGCAATGGTTGGCCCTGGGAATTTCCCATTCACAGTCAGAAGTTGCTTTGTGTGACACAAGCGGGTTACTTTCTTCAACCCTACCTGCGAGAGAGATCAAAAGGAGAAACTATATAATTAAGCAAAATTGTGTGAAAAAAAGAAAGCGAAAAATGTTAGAAAACAATTTATAAAGTACTTGAGATATATAACCAAAACTTCCGTACACTGAATTTAAAGCGCTGGGTGGTCTTCGAAGAACAACATGGCAGAATTACACCGATACATGCTATGATCACTAGTGTTACTAGTTTTAGTGACCTAAATTCACTATATTTGTGAAATCTCTCCATTGTTATATACCAAACTAAGAACTCAAGCTAGTTAATATGCGGCACACGCTTTATATCAAACGGTATATTAATGCCAACTTTGGTAATACCACTGATAATACCTTTTTCACATGCCAAGACACCTCAATATTATGCATGCATATATAGCAAGGGAAAATGCCTCCTACTTTTTTGGCTATCATACTTGGACTATTCATTTAATAATTTCTTGAGCAGTACCGGTTCCAAAGCTTTCTGTATATAGTAATTATATGTGAAATAAAAGACTGAATTTGATGACTTAATTAATGGGTAGGTGTGAGATTAGAATTGGTGTTCTTAGCATTATTCAAATGTGAATTACAAAATGTTTTCACTTATATAAGCAAAACCTAAACATTTAAAAATATCTAGATACATTCCTTTTGATTCCGGGTCGAATCTCCATGACATCAGACTTGAAAATTGGATTCCATCTATAGATAATTTTCAATTTAAATTAAAATCAAAATCCTTTCTGTCAACTTCACGATTGTGGCGACAGTCGCTGTAACAGACGACTTCGCCTTCGTATTGAGATGACAAACACTCGTAATCATGCTTCACGAGAAGTCTTTTATGATAAGCAAATATTTGAGATAATCCAAAAATCAAAAATTAAGAAGCAAAATTAACTCAAAGTTATCTGAATTTAATAAAAAATCCTGCAATAATTACCAAATAATAAGCATTTATTTTATTCAAGTGCCCTGTGGTCCCGTCCTCACTCACACATCCATACCCACACACACGTCTGGTGACTCGAACCCTCAACTTAAAATTGAGATGGAAGGGCCAACTAAGCTGGCCTCGCTCGTCCAAAATAATAAACATTAGCTTTGTATAATAAGTGCCAACAAAATTTAAAATTTGAATTAAAAATCGTAATATTATGTATCTAGTGCCAACATTAATGAATAGATACGACATGCTTCTATGATTCCAAATTAACTTGACCAACTAGTTAGCCATCATCCCTAAGAATCAAGATCTATTGTCCCATTTTTCTGTCTCGGTGGCTGTCCTACCAATTAAAATTTGGCACCTCGTGATTTGTTTTAGTATTTTTAGTATTTTATTTCTATTTATGTAGTCAAATTCTTAAATTTAGATGACATGGTAAATAATTAATAGAGGGACAGACACCGAGACACGAAGATGAAGACAACAGATCTGGACACATAATGCCTGATAATGAATATAATGGACAACAAAGGGTCTCAAAAATATTTTATGCGAGTTGGTACGAGTTTCAGTCAAGACCAAGTTGGATACTACCTAAACCAGCATCTTTTATCTTTGCGTTGGAGAATATATTGAACGTCACAAATTTGTTGTAGTCTCCTTGATCTCCTTCCGAAGAAGTATCTTCTTTAGATCAAAGAACAAACATGTGATAAAGATAGAGAGATTAAACAAAAGAAGATTTCACAGAAACTTAACTATATATATTTGATACATATGATGACTTTTATCACATTTGCCCAACCATGACAAAACTACCACCTCCAAGAAATATATGTAGCAATCAATTAGGGGGTATAAATAATTAGTAGAGGAAACCCGTACACGACATGAAAACTCGTAATACTCGCGTATCCAAAAAAAATATTAAGAATATTTGTTGATTTAGTACACACTGTATTTTTATTTTAAAATATAATTAAATAAATTTGAAGAATGTCAAGAAGTGGGAATATACTCATTTATCACTAGGGTATTTATAAGTTGGAGTTGGGAGTATATAATCCTCAAAAAAATATTAGTTGAAAAGTTTTCTTAACTAATTTGAAGAATGATAAGTGCTTGTCTCTCTTTTGTGACAGTAAGATACACATATAGCCAAACCACTATCAGCTTTAGAATCCAAAGCATGTGCAGTAATACACAAGGATATTATTGTTGGCTACATAATATGGTTTATCTCTGCAAACACAACTAATAAGAAAATAATAATGTAACACATTAAAATAAATCCCTTTATTTTCTCGGCAATGTCAAATGGATACATGCTACTGCTATTATAATAATAAAAGTAACTAGCATCATTGTTCCCTAAACGGTTTAGTGACAGCTTTTTTTTTTTTTTTTAATTTTAATATAGACACCATCAAACTTTTAAAGCATATGCAGTTCAAATAAAAATCGTTAAACTCCAATGCAATGCTATAATTTATTGTCAATAGTAAATTAAGCATTTGAATGTAAAAAAATATTTTTTGAAACAGTGCCATTTGTTGTACAAAATTTACCATATACTATAATTGGTAACTAATTTAACACTAAATATAGTATATGACAAATTTGACATTTGTTTATTATTGGTTAATTTCTTTACTTTTTTCATCTAATTATTGTAACTTTTGAATTCTCAAATTATTTTATAAAAAAGTTTTACTTTTACAACTTTTAAAAGCTTAATGATAAAGTAAAAAGTAGATTTAGTATTTAAAATAACATTATGCATTGTAGAACAAATGAAAATAACACATCCGATTACATTTTTTTTAATACAAAATATACCATTAACATTAAAATTTGCATTGAAAGGGGTCTTAAAATTGGTGCTTATAAAGCATGTCTAGTAATTACTGAGATAACTTTTTAAATCTATCCATAGAGAAGCATGCCATGGGCTTGAAGAGCGTGGAACACAATGATTGCGGATTATACAAGACATGGAGTTTGCAAAAACGCTATTATGTTACAAGATATCTTTTCATAGGTTATCATTTCATATCTTACAGGTTATTTTTCTGACATTAAAATTTTGTGTAGTAACATAAATAATCGAGTTAAAAAAACCAATAGTTAAACTTGAAATTTTCTCCCCAAATATCATAGTGGGAAATTGGCCGTGGCTTTTGTAATTTTTTTCAATGGCAGCTGATAGACCGATTAGTGTCATGAAGAATTTACGAGTATGTGAAGATTATCACATCGCCTTAAACATCATATCCAAAATTGTTGGAAGTCCTACCACTTTCACTACTACAATGGGGGCTCGTGTTGTTATGGAGATTGCTAGTGAGACTGATTGAGTTTATTGGCAGAAAATTAAGGCCTCGTTCATTTCACCGATTCGAGTTTTCAGTTTTAAGTTTCTACAGTAAAAAACTCTCAAAAAATGTCACATCTAACTTTTTTTACTACAGTGAAAAGCTCTCAGAAAATGTTACATCTCAGCTCAAATTAAAAACTCTAATCCGCGAAGTAAACGAGGCTTAAGACTTTACTCGCCCAAGTGGAAGAAGAATATTAGTCCAGATCATTGGTGGTGGATTAATCATTATACATTCAGAAACATGCTGAATATGATCATAAATAATTACAAAAGGGTGCCATAATCAGAGATGAGATATTTAAAATGTTAATTAGAAATGTGTTTCTTGGAGAAATAATTCACAAAAAATGATGAACGGACAAGGGTCAGCGGATTAGTTAAAGAAATTGATGATTTGTTTCTTGGGGGTCATACCACTTCCTACCAAAAGACAAACAGCAGGTCCATCGTAACAATGATCTCCCGTTTTATTTATTCTTTTATTCACTTTAAGGATAAATGGAAGCAAGCAACTTTTGTTTTCACTATAGCCTTAATAATAATTAAATCAGAAGTGACGTGGTAAAAAATGACTTGGCCCAAACCAATTTAGCAATCAATCAATCACTTTATATATCCGCCGAGCCTGTCGCACAACCATAGCGTGATCGAAGCACTCTTAACAAAAATTCGAAACAAGTGATCAAAGTTCGCTCAGTACTGCAACAAACGTGTAAAAACTTTATTTATTTCACCGATTTAAATTTTTAATTATAATTTTATTACAGTTAAAAATTCTTATAAAAAATCACATTTAATTTTTTATATTACAGTAAAAAACTCTCACATAAAATCACATCTTAACTCGAATTCACAAACTGAACGATGCTAAAATAATCTTATCCAATCCCGAGATATGCAAAAAAATGACCTTTCTTAAGTATGCTTTCAATAAATGTCCTTAATTTTGTTAAATTAAAAAAATATATTATTTCTATTAAATTTAAGAATAAGTAGTTTACGTTATCAAAACTTGGTACATTAGACATACGATGGTAAATTAATAATCAAAAAAACAAAAAAAAAAAAAAAAAAAACCCAGTGCTTGTTCCCAGCTAATGAAATATATATATATATATATATATATATATGCTGTCAGGTCCAGTAAAATAATAATAAAAATAGAGTGCTGAACTTGGTAGTCATTAGTCAAATTGAAACACATCAAAAAATTTGAGACATGCCAATGTTTCTTTCTCTTCGAGTCAAAACCTTTTCTTTCTATGGTATCACACCAGATATGGAGTCTACATCGTTGTTTCTTTAGAACATAAGGAGTGAATTACAGGATAACATCTCCTCTTGAGATTCTAGTGACACAAATGAAGTAATATTTCAACGGAATCCTATTGTTAGCTTAGTTTCTACCTGAAACAATGAAGATCTTCAATATGGATTATTGCCGAGCGTCTCTTACACACACAATGAGGGAAAAGAGATGAGGCAATGTGTTAACCATCCGCTTCATCTACGGCATATCGCAGTACAGAATCAGGCGTGGAGAGCTGCAACGTTTTGGGACAACCCATCAACTGTCTCGTCCATGGCTTCGGGAATTGCTTCTTCCTGCATGAGAGGCAAAGTTGCATAGAACATCAGAACTAAACAAATCACTTCAGTTCTAGCAAAAATAGGTTCCAAATGATCGATCCTATGAGGTTCTGATTGACAATTTTATTATTAATTTTTGTTTATGTATCTGGAAAAGTATTTCCTTGCTTCTGCAATGATAAAAAATGGTTTGAAAACGCGAATTTACTAGATGAGGAAATTGGGAAACAGCATTAATGCTTCTGCAAGCCAAAGCGAAATGCTGCAAGTATTAATGCTCTATGACACCATAAACGCAGAAGGTAAGAAACTCCCAAGGGTGTATCACACTGTTAAACATGATCGGATAATTTCTAGATCCAATTATATCTCGAATGCATAGAACGAAAATATGATTTCTCCTGGAATGAATCTCTCCTTTTTTTTTTCTTTTTTATTGTTGGATAAAAAAACTCCTTTTATTGAATATAAAAAAATAAACAAAGGATAGTGGATAAGGTATCCGCTAGGAAAACAGAAGCGAAAACAAAATTACAAGCTACAAACTAACTGAAAACATGGAAGAGAGCCAGATTAATACATACTAATCAGACTACTATTGCTAGAATGAATGAAATGTAGACGACTGAAAGTGCAAAACCAATCATGTACACAACAGATTTAGAAGTTCCAAGACAAATATAAAGGGCGACTTGAATATCCCGAAAAGCTAGCTCAAGATTACTAGGCATTTAGTTATTTAAAATCATGCACGTGAATAATGAAATGACAGAAAATCCCATCATAAACTCCAGCATAAGTTCAAGGCATACAAATAGGATGTAATGTGTTCTGATGTTTAATTACCTCCAAATCTGCTTTTGCTTTTACGCCTATACACTTGGAAGCACTAATGCTAGCACTCTTTAAAAGGCTACGTACAGTCTGGTTTGGCTTGTTGGTTCCATTTTGCGAATCTATATTCACATCCTCTGAATCATCAAGTTGATGTGACCTAGGACTCTGAAGAGTTGACGCAACAGAAGCTGCAGTTCTCCTTTCAACATCAGCATTTTGGTCCTGAGCCGCCTCCTTGGGTACACAAACCCGCTCTCTGGAAAGGAAGAAAAATAGGAACAAACCAGGTGATGAATGATGATTGAACTGCATGAAACTATATTCTAGAATCCAAAGATGCGAAATTCCACCTAAACTGGCAGGACATATCGTCAACCACTAGTAGGTTTAGCGGTCTAATATCTAAGCTAGTTCATAGTAACCAATAATGATGAAATGAAGAAGAAACTGGCGTAAAAAAAAAAAACCAGATATCTTCATGTATAACTGGCAAAATTCTGAGTCATTTTACGACTTCAAGCCTAATTTTTAAACTTCATAAGATACATGATTTTTATCTGATACATACCTAGGTAACGAAGCATGCTGCCTTTGTAGTGGAGTGCTTCCTTTAGCGCTTCTTTCACCTTTACCATAATGCTCCTCAAGATGTGCAAACTGTCTTTTGAATCGATCAACACCACTAAATGGAGAAAGAAGAAAAAGTTACTGGTGTAATTTGGTACTAAATCTGTTGAACTAAGTATCTTGCCATCATCATGAAATGAGCCATTCATCCAGAATATAATATATAGTCAAAAGCCCTTAACTTATTCAAATTTAAGCAGACTAACGACTGATAAATCAATGGGAATATAACCACAACTCTTCTCCTACATGATTAGACTTGAAAAAGTACAAACAAATATAAGGTTTGTTTCTCTAATAATGAATGCGCCATCAAGTGTGGATGTCAAATGAAACAAAGAACTGGGACAATGGAAAGAGTTCTGTAGTCAACTTGCAAGAATATATCACAGTTCGATGCTTTAAAAAAAATGAGCTCAAAGAAAATTCTCATCAGAATGATAAAGACTGCCAAAAATCCATTGCCAGAACTTCAATGACAGGCGGCCAGCCGCAAGCCCAACCAGAAGGTCTTTTTGCCGCATGCTTCAATAATACAAGTTCATAAGTGCAGGGCACACAATTCAGAAAGCCAATTTATAAATGTGACAGAAGCTTGAATGAGAAGGATCAGTTCAAATGATGTACAAATTTAGCTAACTTCTTAGTCTTATTTCATTGATTCATTGATAACTTAAGCTAAAAGATAAATCTTTCTAAGGTAAGAGGTTTAGAAAGAGTGCTTGCAATTTAAATATATATATATATATACACACACACACACACACACACACATATATTTTCATAAAATTAAAAAGAAACCCAACAGGATTCAGAGAAGTAATAATCAACATCAGGAAATGCAATATACTTGATATATTTCAAATCTAGTATAAACCAGGAAGACTATGAAAGAAATTCTTGATGGGGAAATGTTTTAATACAATAAGTAAAACTGGTTTAACAAGAACAGAAGTCCTTCAAATCATTTGGAGATTGTACTTAACCAGAGTAGAGAAAGCAATTCAAGTCATTTTGAATCTGAAACAAAGAAAATTCAGAAAACCAAGATAAAGATGTGCCATAAGCGGTTTATCAGAGTGTTAATGGCCAACAATTTAGAATAACCGTGATAACCTACTAAGAATTATGTAAGATGCGATGTTTAGTTGAAATAGTGGACTATAACTATGATTGTAACATATAACAACAAAACCATTTGAAAGAGTCTCAGCTCCTGCCAACCTTGGGTACATAAAACTAGTTTGATCTCCACCTCGAAGATGCTCCTGCAGCATTTGGGGATGGTACTCCAAAATCTGTTTTAATGCACATAAAAATTTGTTTCAATGTGAGGGAAAAAAGATATCATTGTTCTAAAAATCAACAAGTTTAAGGTTACAAGGCCGCACCTCCCGATAAATTAACTCTCTCACATCGTCTTTTGTCAATTTCCTCCGTTCAAACTCAAATTCAAGTTTTGAAATGGGTTGAGTGGATGGTTCGCGATCCACATTTGCCAAACCATTAAAGTAAGGATCAGATAGTGCCTGGAAGAATGAGCATCAAGGACAACAGAAAAATTATGTTACCAAATAATTCGTCTCCAAAGAATTATTAGAGATTCTGTATTTTTCATTTAGATACAGATTTTTAGGTCGTCAACGTTGGAGTTTTTGTACCTCTTCAGCAGAGGGACGATCTTTGGGGTCAAATGCAAGAAGGCATTCCAATAAGCGGAGAGCTAATGGATCTACATGAGGGAACTTCTGTGAGAATGGAATTGCTTGTTTCTTCCGCATGCTACTAAGATACCTTCGTGCTTTTTCATTACGAATCTGCCAGTGAAATTACACAGTGAGGCAAACAGCAAACCATAAAATTGAACCTGAAAGCTAAAGAACAAGAATTTAAGAATGATAAATATAGAGGGTGTGCCAAGTGCACCAAAAGGAATGAGCTAACTAACCCTTGCAATGGACTCAGGAGAAGGGGTTCCAAGCAAATCAGTCATGAGATCCAATTGGTGTACCACATTTTTCCCGGGAAACAGTGGTTTTCCCGTAAGCATTTCTGCAAATATGCATCCTATACTCCAAATATCTATTGCAGGAGTGTACTGGAAAATAAAAGTTAAAAGCAATTACTATAATTTGTATCATCCAAAAAGAATAAGAGAGAAGCATATAATAAAAAACGAGCAACAATCTGCTTTCAGTATAACAAAGCCAGAAAATCCTGACCAAAGAATAATTACCACAAAAGAAAAAAATAATAATAAAAAAAATAAAAAATTCAAAACTCTGCAGTTCAGATTGGCAAGCTGTGTTCACGAAATTAAAGTTTGCAAGGTGCTTTCCAAACATGGATTCCTTGGAGAGAGCAGAGCAACTTTAATTCTCGCTAATGGATTACGAACTTTCAAACTTTTCTATTTAGAAGTGATCGCTTTAAGAAAAAAAATTCTATGACTAAGACGAGAGTATACAATCAACAAGTAGGTCAGAATAAAATAGTTCAAGACAAACTACCTCTTTAGAAACCACATGCAATTTCTAGTATTATGAATTACAGTAATATATATTGAAGACAATCCAGTCCATGACTAAGATGACCATTTTGACAATTGAGGAGTATGAAAACAATAGTTATGCATGCTACAATTACATTTTCTTTTGTAAAGCAGAACGATAAACTATTAACATGGTTTACAGACAACCTATCAAGCTCAAGACACATATATCGCCAACAGTGTGCTGATAGTAGTGCAAATAGTTTAAGAACAAAAAACACAAAGGTGCGGATAATGCTTTGAGAAAATGAGCCATAGGAGATTGAGGTATAAGTATTTCAGAAGTTGAAAAAAAGCAATGAACACTTTGAAAGGTAACGAGAAATCAACAAAAGAATGTAATGCATATGTTATCAGTGTAACACATAAGTAAAAAATGGAAAACCAAATTAACACGTAAGACCCCTCTTTCTTTCCTTCTTTTTTTTTTTTTTTGTTTGGATAAGAAACTCTAACATTATTAAAACCAACTAAAGTTACAGAAATTACAACTAGCAATGGACAAGAAGTCAATCAATCAACGGAAACAAAAAGAACGAAGGAATAAAAATTAAAACAACCAGCAAAGCCTACACTAAGATTAACATGTGGGATCTGAAAGATAAACTTTAACTTACTTTTGAGAAAAATGACCCACAGAGCTCAGGGGCACGATACCATCGAGTTGCAACATAGTCCTTCACAAAAATAAAATGATTGATAAGTATTGCAGTTAAAAGTCCTGTTCATGACTGGGTTGAATAAAATAAGTGCATGAAACTTTTAACTATCACTAAAAAGGAAGTAAAGCTTCATAAATTGAGGTACGATGGCAGGATTTGCCTAAAAGAATAACTCACAGTCCAGAAGATAGCTGATGGGGCATCATTGAACGCTACTCGAGCGAGCCCAAAATCACATATCTTTAGCTTGCAGTCAGCATTAGCAAGGATGTTTTTTGGCTTCAAATCCCGGTGAAATACATTTGCTGTATGACATGCAATGTACATCAATCAATATCCATCAAAGACAAAATGAGTAAAGGAGTTGGTGAAAACTACGAACCCGAATGAATATATTTAAGACCGCGAAGAAGCTGGTACAAGAAAAACTGATAGTGCTCAGGAGTAAGATCGTCATTTGCCTTAATTACTTGGTGAAGATCAGATTCCATCAATTCAAACACAACATAGATATCTTTGAACTCTCGTCGTGAAGGAGGAAGCATTATGTGTTTGATTTCGACAATATCCGGATGACGAAGCAACCGCAGCAGCTTAATTTCTCTCAGAATCCGTGTTGCATCAGAAACATGCTCAAAAACATCATTGATTTTCTTGATTGCAACCCTTTCTCCAGTGTGGTTGTCAATTGCAGAGCCGACAACACCATAGCTTCCTTTTCCAACAACTTCCTGAATTTGGTATTGGCTTCCCTCTCCATATTCAGTGAAGAATTCAGTTTCCGCTCCACCCTATACAAGATCAGCAGAACCAGTCACAGACAAAGACAAACATACGCACAAGTTACTAAAGGGGCAGAAAAGCAAAACATAACATAAGGCCTTCGTGCATTGCATACACAGTTTCCTTTCATTCCGTTTCATTGTTGCTATAAAAAAGCATCATGAGAAAAGGTAAATGGGAAGATAAAGTCGTTGTGTAATAAGTTAACCAACATACCAGTTTTGAGTACTTTTTACAACCATGTAAAGCCAACACATTCTGTTCTTAAAAAAATAATTTTTTTTATGAATTCAGCTGCGGCGGCGCAGATATTTATAAGCATTGTCTATCTGAGAAGATACTTCAGAAGCTGAAGATTTCATGCACAACATATACAGACAGAATTGTCCATCTTGTTCAGATCCCATATCATGAATTGCTTCAATGACCTAAAATCATACACTATAACCATGCTGACTAATATCAAATATTGGTGCCGAAAAGGCGGAGATTTTGTATTAGTTATCCATCAAACACAACATTCTTCTTCCAAAAAAAAAAAAAAAAAATTTTTTTTCCAAAAAAAAAAAAAAAAAAAAAAAAAAAAACATCAATATAACAACTTAATGAACAGCTATAACTCCGTGCATGTTTTCTGTTTGGTTGTTGGTCAATAACAGAAAGTAAGAAGTTCGTTACTTTGAAACAACAGAAATGGATGCAATATTTCACACTCCAAATTGGCTTTTAGTCAACCAAATACATCATCAATTATGGAAAAATTTCACATCTTTTCATCAAATCCGAATTTCACTCTCATTTCTCCTCCACTACCAACAGAAAAAGGACTAGAAAAAGCAAAACAAAAAAACAAACAAACAAACTAATCAGATCAAACCGACAAACAATTCAAAGTAACGAACAAAACCACGAGGAGTCGAATAAACACAAGCAAGCAAACAAACAAAAAGCGCATCAGATCAAAAGGGAAACTTGAAAACAAAGACAAAATTTGAAGAAAATCTAACCTTCTTTTGAGAATGCATAGAGCCAGGTTTGAGATCAATCCGTTGGGGAACTTTGATGAGCTTCAATCCAAAGACGTCGAAATCTTCCTCAACAATCGTAAGCTCCGATGATTTTTCTCCTTCTTGTTGGATCGCTTTTTGTTCGGGTTTCGACGATTGCGCGCGAAACTCGGTCACTGCCGAAACGTGGCCACCATTTGGATCGCCCGCACAATAATTATCGGATTTGTTAGTACAATTAATGTTCGAATTATTATTATTATTACTATTATTAGCAATTAATGTAGAAGAAGAAGAAGAAGAAGAAGTAGAAGTCGAAGAGCGACGTTGAAACCAGCGACGAACACCGTCCACCAAAGTAGCTCCACTCCCCATATACACAGAAAAAACCCCCTCTTTTTATATTTTTATATTTTTTTTAGCCTTTGGATTTCCAGCAACTCGATCCCAGCATTTCCCGCTCTCTCTCTCTCTCTCTCTCTCTCTCTCTCTCTCTCTCTAATTCTTCGCTGGCTTTGACATCTGTGAACTTTTTTCTTTTTTGATAAGAGAATCCTGTGAAATTGGTATAACTTTGGGTTTGGTATTGGACCCGAAAGATGCGGGACAGATTTGCAGAGATTGTGGTGGAGAGAAAGACTTGGGTTTGTCCCTGACGAGTGCTGATTGAAAAATATCATGTGAAATGAAATGAAGATGGATTATTATTAATACAATTTAAGGCTGCTGACCTTGTGCATGATGTAGCATGTATGTAGATAGATATAGATATATGTCTTTTTCTTTTGTCTTACAAAATAAAAATCTTGGTTGGGGTCATTTTCGCCGCTACATTTTACTAATATATAGAGTCTGTTTACTTCGCTGATTTGAGTTTATAATTTGAGTTGAGATGAAATTTTATGTGAGAGTTTTTTATTATAGCAAAAAAATTAGATGTGACTGTTTCTGAAAACTTTTTACAGTAACAAAACTTAAATTCTAAACTCGAATCGGTGAAGTGAACGAAATCATAATGTAGTGAATTAAAAGTTAGTTTAAAAACACAAGAGACTGCCCAATATCTATCCTCAGCCGACAACAGAGTGAATTTAGCGAGTGATTCAATGGGCAGCCCCATTCCCAGAACGAGGAATGAAATTGTAAGGAGTAATTTTGATAAATACTTTTTAAAATTTACTTTAAAGGAAATTGTCATAAGTTTTAGGCTTGTATTGACATATGTCAAGGAACATAAACTCTTGTAGAGAATCCACAGCCATATCATCACACTATATTTATTTAAAATACTAAATATACTTTTAGGATACCGATACATCTCCAGCCACAATACTAGTATCCAACTGAGATACTTACTAGCTCCCGGCTACAAAATCAATATCCAACTGAGATGCCATACGGTATCCGGCGGACAACTGCCAATATTGGTGGCAGTAGCCACCAGAAACTAGTGAAGCGATGGCCGTTGTGATACTAATCAGTTACCAATTGGCAACCGCCAGTATCCATGTAGATATTGGTATCTGATCAGTTTCTGACCTAGATATCAATATCTGACTGAGATACCCATCAATATTCGGCCACTAAACGCATGTATTGATGGCAATCTAGCCATCACAGTTGCCAAAATGCCTAAAAATTTAGAAAAACACAAACAATATGCAAAAAAGCACAAAAAAGAGTATTTGTCAAAGACCGAAAAGCCCACTCTGTACGGGCCTTGTTTTGTAATTTTTTTTATTCCGCCCAAGACCACATTCTGCCAAAACCGTTTGGCTTGGAATAATGGTGATTAAAAAGGGCTTAATGTCGAGCTTAATTGTGAAGTTAAAGGCCAGTTATTGCATCATTTTTTCTTTGAACCTAGCAATGTATTGTGGCCGGGTTCATCTTGGTGAAAGGAAACATTTTTGCACTATTAATGTGTGTGAATTAAGACCTTTAATTCCTTGTCTCATAACCCCTTTCTCAAGAGTCTATATAAGGCGTGTACCACATGAAGGAGAGGACACACTTGCACTCGACCACTCTTCTCCTCCTCTCTCTCGATTTCTATCTTTTCTCGAGTTCTTTTTGTAGTCGTTTTCGGTGATAGAAGATAGGTGTAGTTCTAGTTCGCCAGACGGTTCTGATAGTGCTTCGAGCTACCGTCGTTGTTGTTATATCCTGAGAAACAGACATCTTGTTGAAAAATTAATGGCATCGAGTGCGCAGCGGAATTTAAAAAAAATTTAATCAACGTCAAAGCCAAACAAGAACATGTTCATGATGCTATATAACATAAATACTAAAGATCTAAAACATACCTTTTGAGATTTCAAGAAACTGCACGTCTGACAGATCTAAGCGTTCCAAACAGCAACCGGAAGAGCCTCAACCAACTGGTCTTCTTTGTTATTCTCGTTTCCACGATCGGTGTGCGGGTGGGCACACGTCGTTTAATCTCCTCTAGGTATTCTTGATCTCCTTCCAATCACAAGAGAGCTAAAGAAAAAATTGTTCTTGAGAATTAAACAATTTTTCCTCTCAGGAATCTTTTATCAATAGCCTCCAAAAAGTCTCTCAAGTGATCTAATGAGTAATGTGACTTAATAGGCTATTTATAGTTTTTGGAAGTCATACTTCCGTAACAATTAGGTTTTCCAAAGTTCTAATCGCATCCAGAGTCGATTTTCCCCCGTCAGCATGCATTTTACGTTACAACCGGTCGACCGGGGACAGAGACGTTATAACTCCCCGGTCGCCCTGTCTTCACTAACCGGTCGACTGGACCGGTCGCCCTGGGACCGGTCTACCCAACCGGTCGACCTCTCTGCACTGACGAAAGTTGTTTTTCCTAGTTTTTCAATACGGAAAACTTGCATAGAGCTTCAGTTTTGATTCAAGCAACCCAATATAGAAATTGCTTGATCAAAACAGTCATATAATAGTCTTCCCATATTAAACAACTCTTAAAACAATAATTCAACCAATTTATTTAGAATTAATTTATCAATTAATTCACCCATGAATTAACTTTGAACCTTTCGTTACGGAAATAACACAAGTTACCAATGTGTAGGAAATACACCGTATCGTTACAGGAAATTATGTGAGCTAGCAAATTATATTATTGTATCATCCCCATAGGATATCCATAATCGACTTGAGGTCAAGTTCCATTTTACCTTCCCGATTACATTTATCTTATGTTCCATTATCATACTATCGGAAAAATACTATTCGTATCATTACAAATAGTAAACCATTAGATAACACAGAGTAGTCCAATGGCTGAGCGCTCATAGTTTCCAATCCACTGATAATGCATAAGAGGATATCATTGACTCTTTATAGGAGCTATGGATTCCACTATCTATGAATAACGAATCTACGCATACACGAGTCATACCCCCAATGTACCGGCAAGCATACCTTTACATAATGTCAGGATGTCTCCCTTTAGTACATCAAAGGATACAAGTCAAGTATACAGGTTCATCATCCATCTCAGGATTAAGATGACAACATATAATTCGTCAAAAGTGAATTGTTTTATTCAAATAGAATTATTAATTAAAACAATTCAACTTTGGTCCGATCCAATATAGATTTCACCATTAGAAACTATATCAATGTCTCCACCCATGGAGTCCCACCTCCGACGACCAAGACAAGCCGTCTCCGTTAGGAAGTAGACAACATAACAATCTTAACATAAATAAAGCGCCCAACTTTATTCGCTCGATTGTGGATCATAAGATTTAGACTATCATCTTTAGATTCTTGTCTTCCGCATGTTCTTCACATTACATGCATGACTTAAAGATTTAGAATGACAGTCTCAGACTTTCAGTTTGCTAATCATACATTCAACTATTATGAACATAAAGAGGACAATTCATAGATATATAAAATAAAAAAATCTTTATTAATAGTCAAAATATCTCAAAGAATATTGTTACATTTATTCCTAAGGGCATAAACGCTAACACATCTAACGTGACATCAAGCACTCGCCAGAGGGGACGAATCTATTTTAAGGAAAGCGTGGTTCACGTGCCTCGACATCCTTACCAATTTGTTTTCCAAGTTTGGTAGAAAAGTTGAATATATGTTGTAACAATTTTATTATTTTATTATTGTAAAAAGTTGTTATATATATTATTCTTCTTTGTATTATCCATATTATTGCTAACAGTCTTAAAACATATTTGATACAAAGGAGGACTTTACAGGAAGGAAAGAAAAGAATACGTTTTTTTGTTGTAGGAATCCTTTTTCCAATTTCCTTACTAACTTGAAAAATTTTATTTTTGAAGAAATGGCTGATAACATGAACGTGGTTGTTCCTGCTGGAAGCAACACTACGACGCCTGAGCCGTCACCTATGGGACAAACGTCCATCTCAGTCCCAACCCCTGCTTTGACCTCGACGCGGCCTTCACCGGTCTCGGTTCCTGTGAACCACAATGAGAAGCCTGATAAATTCAATAGGCTGAATTTTAAGACTTGGCCTCAAAAAATGTTGTTTTATCTAACGACATTAAATCTTGCGAGATTCTTGAAAGAGGACCCTCTTACTGTTAGAGAGGATGAAGTGGATGCTCAAGCATTCCACGCAGTTGATGCATGGAACCATTTTGACTTCTTGGTCGGAACTATATGCTGAACGGCTTGGCTGATAGGCTTTACAACGTGTACAGCTTAAAGAAAACAACTAAAGAATTATGGGAATCCTTGGACTAGAAATACAAGTCTAAGGACGCAGGTGCTAAGAAGTTCTTAGTGGGCCAATTCCTGAATTATAAGATGGTGGACTCAAGGACTGTTATTAGTCAAGTTCAAGAGCTGCAATTGATAATTCACGAGATACATGCTGAGGGAATGGCTATTAGTGAATCCTTTCAGGTAGATGCACTGGTTGATAAGCTACCCCCGTCTGAAAGGAGTTCAAGAGCTATCTAATGCACAAGAGGAAAGAGATGACCGTTGAGCAATTGATTGTCAGGCTTCGTATTGAAGAAGGCAATAAGTGGTCTGAGAAGAAGTTCTCCAATGAAACCGCAAGCTCTACTAAGGCTAATGTGGTGGAGCATGATGGCTCCAAAAAGAAAGGAAAGCCCGGATCCAAGTTGAGACTAAAGGAAGGAATTGTCAAGAAGAAATTCCAAGGGAAGTGCTTCAATTGCAACAAGGTTGGGCACAAGTCGGCAGACTGCAGGCTGCCGAAGCGAAACAAGGATAAGGAAGCCAATGTGGTGGACACCATGAACTTGGTCCATTCCAATCCAAAGGAGTGGTGGCTCGATACTGGGGCTACAAGACACATTTGTTGTGATCGGGCCGAGTTTGCTGATCTAGTTCCATTGGAAACTGGAGAGAAGCTTTGCATGGGCAACTCCGCAACTTCTGTGATCAAGGGCCAAGAACGGTGTTCTTGAAGATGACTTCGGGTAAGGAAGTGAAGCTCCACAACGTGCTATATGTGCCCGACATCCGGAAGAATCTCATATCCGGGACGATGCTTAGCATGCACGGCTTCAAGATGGTGTTTGAAGTCGATAAAATAGTTTTGTCTAAGATAGGAATGTATGTGAGGAGGAGTTATGTAAAGAATGACATGTGGAAAATGAATTTCATAGCTGTAAAACCAATAAAATGAATAAAAAGAAAGAGTCTTCCGTTTATATGCTTGAGTCTTCTAACTTATGGCATGGTAGACTATGATACATTAATTATGATACATTACGTAGATTAATTAACTTGGATCACATACCTGCATTTCATATTGATTCAAAACGTAAATGTGAAACTTGTGTAGAGGTAAAACTAATAAGGTTATCATTCCAAACAATAGAAAGGAACACTGAACCACTTGATCTAATACATAATGATGTTTGTGACTTAAAGTTTGTTCAAACTAGAGGTGGTAATAAGTATTTTATCACTTTCATATTGATGATAGCACAAAGTATTGCTATATATATTTGCTAAAAAGCAAAGATGAAGCTGTAGAGAAATTTGCTCTCTACAAGCAAGAAGTTGAAACCAACTTAATAAAAAGATTAAGATAGTAAGAAGTGGCCAAGGTGGTGAATATGTCAAACCATTTAGTGCACTATGTGCACAACATGAAATTATTTACGAAGTCACACCTCCATATTCTCTCTAGTCAAATGGCATTGCTGAACGAAAAAATCATACCTTAAAGGATATGATGAATGCAATGTTAATAAGTTCTGGGTTGCCACAGAACATGTGGGGGGGAAGCCATTTTATTGGCTAATCACCTTTTAAATAAGGTTTCATGAAAGAAAGTCGATAAGACCCCCTATGAATTGTGGAATGGAAGGAAACCTTCCTACAAATACTTGAAAGTGTAGGGGTGTTTGGCCAAGGTAATGGCATCAACGCCAAAGAAGATGAAGATAGGTCTGAAAACGGTTGATTGCATCTTCATTAGGTATGCTCATAATAGTAATGCATATCAGTTCCTTGTGCACGAGTCTAAAAATCCTTACATACACAAGAACACGATAATAGAGTCTAGGAATGCATCGTTCTTTGAACATGTATTTCAATGTAAGACTAAGGAAGATGAGCCAAGTTCGTCAAAATGAATTTTTGAGACTATTACAGAAGATAGTAGTCAAAATGCTGAAAACAATGAAAATGTGGAAACAGAGGAAGAGCCTAGACGAAGTAAAAGGGCGAGGATAGAAAAGTCTTTCGGACTGAATTTTCTAACCTATAAAGAAGCTATGAGTTATGAGCTGAACCTCAAACGTGTAAAGAAGCTGTGAGCTCAACTAAGGGTCTTTTATGGAAAAAACCATAAAGAGTGAGATAGATTCCATCTTACAAAATCATACTTGGAAACTAGTAGACCTTCCACCAGGAAATAAACTACTAGGTTCTAAATTGATTTTTAAACAAAAAATGAAGACAGATGGAACAATTGACAAGTATAAGGCCAGACTAGTAATAAAAGGTTACAGAGAATGAGAAGGCTTTGATTATTTTGACACATATTCTTCTGTGACGAGAATAACATCTATAAGGATGATACTAGCGATTTCTATCCTGCGGAATCTTGAAGTTCATCAAATGGATGTGAAGATAGCCTTTCTAAATGGAGATCTATAATAAGAAATCTACATGGAACAACCTGAGGGTTGTGTAGCTCCAGGACAAGAGAAGAAAGTCTGTAAATTGGTGAAGTCTTTGTACGGACTGAAACAAGCTCCAAAACAACGACATAAGAAATTTGACGATGTCATGATGTCAAATGGATTCAAAATCAACGAGTGTGACAAATGTGTTTATGTCAAGAATACAGACGACGATTATGTCATTATTTATCTGTATGTATACGACATAATAATTGTGGGTAACAATGATCGGATGGTCAAATCTACCAAACACATGTTGAACTCAAGGTTTGACATGAAATATATGGGACCGACTGATGTGATTTTGGGAATCAAAATCAAAAAGGTGTTTGATGGTCTCATATTGACTCAGTCACATTACGTGGGCAAGATACTTGACAAGTTTAGTAAAGACGATACTGGTATAGCCAGAACTTCGATTGATATAAGTCAACATCTGTCCAAAAATAGAAGAGAAATCATATTCCATGTGGAGTATGCTAGAGTGATTGGCAATCTGATGTACTTAATAAGCTGTACAAGACCAGATATTACCTTCACTGTAAGTAGATTGAGCATATTCACGAGTAACCCAGGATATGACCACTGGAAAGTAATTGTGAGAGTACTGAGGTACTTAAGATATACTCGTGCCTATGGACTGCATTACACAAGAGAACATGTTGTATTAGAAGGATACTCTGACGCAATTTGGATATTCGATACACTGGATTCTAAGGCTACCAGTGGATATGTATTCACCTTGGGTGGTGGAGCTATTTCATGGAAATCCTCTAAGCAAACAGTAATAACCAGATCCACGATGGAAGCTGAGTTTGTCGCTTTAGATAAATGTGGAGAAGAAACATAATGGCGTAGAAATTTCTTAAAGGATATTCTGGATTGGCCAAAACCTGTACCTGCAATTTATATACACAGTGATAGCCAATCAGCTATTGGTAGAGAACATAATATGATGTATAATGGTAAGTCTAGACATATACGTCATCGACATAATATCATTAGACAACTGATCTCAACGGGAGTCATAGCCATTGACTATATAAGGTCAAAAGACAATATTGCGGATCCGCTGACCAAAGGACTGAATAGAGATCAAGTTGAAAAAACATCGAGAGGAATAGGACTGAAGCCCATGGAATAAATAGGTCGAAGCAGTGGAACCCCAACATAGTTGACTGGAGATCTCAAGTTACAATTTGAATAAGTGGAATAAAGGCTTGTTCGTTTGCATCTAAACTCAAAAAAAATTTAAACTTAAGTTCATGTTTTTTTGTAAAATTTGAGTTTGAACTTGAGTTTGAACTTGAATTTTAACTTGACTTTAGGGTTAAAATCTGAGTTCAAGTTTCCCCTTCAACTCAAGTTCTTAAACTCAAACTCAAGTTCATAAATAATATTTTTCTATTCTTAAAAACGTTATAATTTTTTCATTTTAATTCCGATTGAGATGATTTTTTGTATGCGTTCACAACAAAGAGAAGAATAAAACTTCACCCATATACCCTATTAAAATTTTCTACCATCATTGAGTTTTTATTAAAATACTATCTAAATACAAACTCAAGTTTTGACCCACCTAAACACAAACTCAAAAAGATTCTCATCTCAAACCATAACTCAAATGTACACAACCAAAGACAAACTCAAGTTACAGCTTTTAACTCAAGTTATAACTTAAATTCAACTAAAGATCTACATTCAAATAATCATAACTCAAAAATACAACTGAACAAAAGTGCTTGTTGGGACCTTTTCAAAAATATTTTTCACGTTTTCTAAGAACCAAACAATAAAAATACTCTTGAGATACACATTTGGCACTACATCGTACGAAAAGTAAAATTGAAAACGTTTTCTAATTGCTCCAAAAAATACTGAGAATTTAAAAACAATCCATAATCATTTTTCTTTTCCATTTTCATTTTTCCTATCTCAATCCTTTTGTTTATTTTCTTTCCTCGACATGCCGAAGAAGGCCAAGAGCACGACAATGGCGATCCACGTCACCAGTGTCGCCGGCATCATCACCGCCAGAGCCGCCACCATCGAGACGACCCCGAACACCGCTCTGAGAAGCACGAACGTGTAAAAAGCGAGCCAACCGGAAGTTGACGACGACGATTTCGATTGCAGATTGTACCAAAAAAGTATAGATTTGAGAAAATTCCAAGAGGAGGTTAGGATTATTGCGTATACTAGGACAAATATGCATACCCATATTCGCCTTTTGCTCATGACTCTTAGGAATAGCATGTCCGAGGAAGGTGTTCTTTCTTGTTCTTCTTCCAGGTTATTAGCCATGGAAAGGGCTTCACTTTTTTTTGTTTTTTTTTTGTGGGTTTGATTTTGAGTTTTCTTTTGATCGCTCTAGATTTTTAGAGGAAAAAAGATTCAAGAATTTTACTTTGTGTTGCTCTGTTATATTGGCTTTGTTTTGTTTTGTTTTTTTTTTTTTTATGGGGTTGGTAGGATTTCTGAATTATGGGTTTTGTGTGTTGTCGGTGTTGGTGATTTTCTTTTACCTTTTTCAGAAGTGTGCGTAAGTAATATGCGTATGGTAATTAGTATCCTAATTATTTACTATTTACGTATGTTAAGACAACTGATAAGTAGTAAGTATAAAACATTTACATATAGAAGATATGTATATATTATATTAATTATTGGTATATTATAATCTCTAGATAAAACTACCAAATGCATTTTCAAAAATGATTCCTGTATGAGATTAAAGACGTTTTTATTTCTATTTTCATACACAAAGTAAAATCATTTTATAACGGACTCTAAATGCACTTTAAAAGTCTATTTGGTTATATTTTTTAAACGGTGTTTTCATAATTTAAAGAAGCCGAGGTAAGACAAATCTGCATCTATAATTTGTGATGCTCTCCTTGACTACATATCAGCTCAAAATACAACAACACAACATCGACTGAAGGGAGATGAGGCGGCCTTACATACAAGGCCAGTGACGATAAGTTTCGGGAAGTTAGTAAAGATATAGATTAGAAGAAGAGAGAGAGGAAAAAAATCAAAGTAAAATTAAACTTATATTTGGTGATAATGAGAGAAATGAGATAGAAAATTATTTTTCCTCTTTGTTGTTTTGTTGTTTAGTACAAGAAGAAGAAAAGAAAAAATTTACCTTCATATGGTATTAATCTATTTGAAGTTGAATCGGGAGGAAAGATAAAATATTATCTATAAAATTACTTTTTTTTAAGATATAAAATTATTTTTTACCTATAAATGATACTTGTACGGTTATTTGTCCTATTACTATAAAGTGAAAGTCATTACACTATCATTACTAATTAAAGCATTACTCAAGGTAAAGGAGGAATAGTATATTTTTAAAAGGAAAAATTAATAAGGGTCCGTTTAGTTCGCTGATTCGAGTTTTTAATTTGAGTTGAGATGTGATTTTATGTGAGAGTTTTTTATTGTACCAAAAAAGTTAGATGTGACTGTTTCTAAGAGTTTTTTACTGTAGTAAAACTCGAATTCTAAACTCAAATCGGTGAAGTGAACGGGGCCTAAATAAATTGAAAAAAAAAATAAGTATTTTTAAAAAATAAAAAGTAAAAGAAAGTATTAAAAGTAAGTAAAGGGGCAAAATTGTACTTTATGATCAAGATGCATGAATAGTAAACTTTCCCCTATAAACCGATTATATTGGAAAAGATAAAAATGAGTCAGCCTCGTAGCCTAAAATCTCAGTAATTATAGTAAATAGAATATTTTAAAAATAATTTTTAAGTAAAAGCATGTTTTTGAAATGATTGAAGTAAATAAATTACTAGTAAATATTTACTTTGACAGCGTAAATATTGTGTTTATAGGTTAGTATTGTATTTACGTGGGTAAATAAATATTTATCAGTTTACTTAAAAAATGTTTTTAAAATATTAGTTTTTTACCTTTTTATCCCTAAAAATGTCTCCTATTTTCTTTCTCACTTTTGTTTCCACCTGACCAAACAATCACCATAGGAGTTTTTCCTAACTTTTTCGCTCTACTCTTTCTTTTCCTCCCAATAATCCATCTTATTAAAGAGAACATGAGTAAATTGGGGCTTACGATACTATGATCTACACAAAAAGTTTAGGAGGACGTTTGGTTGATGGATTTAGAATCATGATTCAGAATTATTCTCGATTTACATGTGTTTTTTATGAGAGAAAATACTGTAGCGAGTCACGAACCATGATACGGATGCTAAGGTTTTTGGCCGACATATTTTTCAATAGTTTTAACATCGATGTTGTATGTCGATCCAAGTGTTAATTCCATAGCATGTGGCATATTTATATGATTATAATGTCCCAATGACTCTAGATTTTTTTTCTTGTAGTAGTCAATATATATATCGAAAGCCCATTATTGATGTTGAAACCGCAATAATAAAAAGAAAAAGGTTCAATCATTCAAGAAGAATTAGGAACGACATTGTTTTTGTAAAAGAAATTGGACAAATAAATTTTCTCCCAATTTAGGTCACTTTTCACTTTTTGTGTTTTCAATCTTAAAATCATCTTTTGCTTCCTTTGAACTTAAAATAGTTGTAACTTTCCCCTTTTACCACTTAAATTGACGAAATATCTGAGATGCCACTAGATTTGATGAGACAAATTTTACGAATTCTTCCTATGTTGAGTCACTTTTTTAGTTTGTTATTTGAATATAAAAGTTGTCATTTGAACCCCTTAAACTTTAAAATGCTAGCAAATTTACCCATTCATCATTTTAATGGATGAAAAAGCTAATTCAATGTTAAATTTGAAAAGATAAGAACATAATTTAAGCTAAAATCTAATTATGAAGTAATTACTGAGTTGTTTAGGTAGCGAATGGGGTTTTTGACAACCCCAAACACTCTCATGATCCAGCATTGCTTCCTTACTCATCTCCGTTCTTTGACTCATCCTACCCAACCCACATCACTATTGAGAAGCACCATAAATCAACATTCCTCAGGTATCTTGAAAGTGATATATATATATATATATATATATATGTATATATATATTGACATTTTTTTAGAATAATGATTACAGATCCTTACTCTCTAACCTCTACTGCAACCGCACCTTTATAACCTATATTACTCTTTTTGTAACTCATTAAATTTTTACATTTTAGGAGTAATTTTTATCAATTTAGCAGTATGAGTAGTTTTATGATTATTAATTAATTTTTTAATTAGCTCAAATTAAGTTGTAATCCTTAAATTTAGCATCACATTAACTTTTTGTTCCATTTAAATGACAACAAAGTAAAAGTTCCCACATTTAAATAAAAAAATTTAAGGAGGGCAAACTAGAAAAGTGAATTAAATTGGTGGATGGATAAAAATTGTCATTTTAAATTTAGTGCCAAGTTAGATTTTTTTTGTCAATTTAAGTGACAAAGGGGACAAATTTGCTAACATTTTAAAGTCGAAAAAGTGTCTCAATTTTTTAAAGAATTAACTCGTGACAAAAGAACTATGGACTTCTTATCTATATTAGCATTAATTGTCATTATTTATGACCGGCTATCTCCAAACATGCTAGATCAAAAGACACATTAAACGATATCTCACACTTAAAGATATCTAAAGACACAACTTATAAATATACAATCACTAGTTCACTCAGGAATAAAATGTTCACATAAATGATTATCAAAGCGAAGTTGATTTACTTAATTAGAGTTATCGTATAAATCAATTTCACTTTAAATCTAGTCTAATATATATGAATTTAATACATATATATTTATATATTTCTCTATTTAGAAAAGTGCATTCTAATGTGTTAGGATTTGTGCCCTATAAAATTAATACATTGGATATATTTTAGACATGTTTGGTTAATAAAGAATAATGTATTTATTTCATGTATTAATGTGTCATATTTATGTTCATTATATTATTAGTATGACACACAAACCAAAGTACTTTAGGGTATCAAAAATATATTATTTTTAACGTTAAAGTATCATTTTTGATATTATTAAAAAAGTAAAGGTAAATTTGAGATGTTTCGATATAAAATAGAGTATTAAAATGAATTTATCCTTATATGTAATGATCTTAATTTTGAAGTGGGTTCATGACTCTATATTTATAAGTCTTTTGATATACTAAAAATAATATTTTCAATGGTGATAAATTCTCACGCCGATATGTTGGAGGCATGATTTATAAGGTGAAAGCTTGATAAACATATAAGGAACTATAACAATTTCACCGAGAGTTAATATTATCATCTTAAAGGTATTATTTGGGAATTAGTAAAACATATTGAGGCAAATGATTCTCTAAGTATGTGTGTTATAAACAGTGATTTCCCTTTGGTAAATAATGCAACTTTGAGAGTTCCGTAATATGATATATAATAAAGAGTTCAGCTTCAAACTTTTAATGGATTAGCACCAAAGTTGATAATCAAATAGAAAAATTAATTGGTGATAAATTTATTTGTTGCTATTGTAGCTTGATAAACATTTGTGCTCATTTATTCTTATGAGCACTTTAGATGGAGAAAATTAAATGGTTCTCTTTAGTAATTAATTTTTCGTAGCCCTTGAGTGGCTGGGAAGAGGCAGTATCAATGTTGAAGAAAAGCTGAGTTGTCTTTATACACAATGATCTGTCAAAACGATAACAGTATAGAAGACTAGTTGGTTAAAGGCTTTTTCAAAATATTTTATTATATGTGTTTTCTCCCATTCTTCAGAGGTAATAAATTATCATATTTAATTTATTGTTCATAGTAATTAAAGTTAGATGTCTGATAAATAATAAAACTTTAAAAATTTTACTGCCTCACTCTGATTAATTTTTCCAACATAATGACCAACATAAACCATCTTCTTATTGAGATACACACACATTACAATCTTATCAGCAATAAAGTGCCCAATTTTATTTTATTGATTGCAGACTTTAATTTATACTGTTAACTCAAAATAATATCCTCTTGCATATATCATCATATATGTATATATAATTTTAAAGGATTAACAATTAAAGTGTTGGTGCTTTTTTTTTTTTTTTTTTTTTT